CAACAGTTCTTCTTTCTTCATCGTGATATTTTGTCATCCACAAAGTCTGTTACTTTTAATACCCAGGCAGCTTGTGCACCCCAGAGCATATGAAATCTATAAGACTACATGATAGAGTATTTACTATTAATGGGCAATGCCTACACCATCCAATATCTTCTTTAGCAAAATATTCAGGATCAATCAAATATCTGAGTAGCTTCCTAATTCTTACTCCACTAACCTAAAATCTAGAATCAAGATAACAACTCTGTTCAGCACATTCAACGATCCCTTTGTATCATCACATGAATATTTCTATTTCGCACTTTATATGATTTTGAACTAGCATGGTTAGCTGGTTAGAATCATACTTACACACACACACACATACAAACACTCACAAAATGTTCATACACCCGAGTGGACAAAGTACTAGTTAAAAGCTTGCCATTGACTTGCCTTTTCACGGCGAGTAAGTATCCATTGACGTGCCTTTGCAACTAGACTTAGGGACGACTAATGACATATTTTGCGCTTTCCATTTAACTGGACATAGGAATTGCAAATATGTCTAGTTAATGTCCAGTTACAAAAAAATCGAAATAAAATAAATAACACGTGTCTTTTTCTCCATATTTTTTTCTTTTGTAAAATTTTATTATTGTATTAGTGTAATTAATTAATTAAAGTACACTATCACTTATGAAAAATCTCTAGTAAAATTTGAGTCTCGAACACTTGCGCGTGAAACAATTGTATTTACTTAAAAGTTTCATACAAATTTTGGTGGACCTTATATAAGTGATTTCTGTAAGCGCTTGTGAAGTATATGGTCAAAAAAGTAAGGAAAATTATTTTTGAGTTTCGAACACTTGATTGATTAGCATGAATGTCCAGTTAAAGTCTAGTTAACGTATAGTTCTCTATATCGTATATATTTCGACAAGTTAAAAGACTGTTAAATGATTGTCCAATAATGGACTTTAACTGGCTGTGTCCACCCGGGACAGATATATTTGCGTTTTAAATCCAAAAACATTATTATTGTATTTATTATTTACCAAACAAACCATGAATAGACACATATATACCGTCATAGAGGTTTTGAGTTTCATACACAAAACAAAAAATTTTTTCTCTATGTTGTGTTGTGCTGCAAAAAGCAAATAGAGGTGCACAATCAGCTCCCCATATTCCATTGAAATTTGTAGATTTCTATTTGAATGCGCTTTGTGAGTGCATCATAGGGAAAGGTATGTACACATGCACACACACACTATTTTTTGGTTATTTTGGTCTGGCAATCGACGCTCTATGACTGTGGAATATTTCGTGCAGCTCCTACAGCTGATGGTAGTAAATACTTCTATTGCTACTATACGAAATGCGGTAAAATGGAAAATTTATTGCCGACAGTTTTGGTTCAATTGGTAAACCATTCAAATGAATGTAAAGTTATCAATATGCATTGCATATTTGCTGCCTGTATGGTCATTTGTGAATCATTTTGTTATTCAATTTTTTTTTAACTTGCTCGTTTGCTTCCTTTCTCTCTCACTCACTGATGACTAAATACAGTTATTGTTGCTTCATATTTATGTGACTAGAATAGATTTTTTTTTTCTCTCCTATATTTGCAGATAAAACACATTTTTTTTTCGGGTGGACTACAAAAAATTGTGAATATCCAATTTCCAACAAATTGGTATCCACATTCGAAAAAAATGCACTAAATTAATTTTGACAATTTTTTTCGTGCTAAAATTGCAGCAACCTTTGTAAATATTTTATTTTCAATTTACAATCTGAATTTTTTTGTGAACGAGATTTAAAGGAATATGAATTAATTTATTGATAAACGGAGTTGATGTGTGCATTCTGTGTTGTAATTTATTGTGATTTTTATGAAAGAATTGAAGGTGAGTAATTGAAAACTTCTGATTTGTGATAATTCCTAAGAATTGAATTTTTGTAGGTCAATGAATGTCAAAACAAAGGTAAGCAAACCAAATTTATTTTTGATGAAAATCATTTCGTTGTAACTTTAAGCTTGCTTTAAGCGAAGATGTCTTAATTTTTTACGGATGTCATAACAAAACGAACCCCAAATACACTGAGAAAATATTTCTTAGTGCTGTTTTTCAAAAATTCAGCGTAAGCCTCTTACTAGCGACTCTTGAACTTTTACAAGTGCTTAATGAGCTTCCACAAATTTTTGAACACTTCCTACTCTAAAATGATAAACTCCAGTCAAATTTTGTTACGCTCGCTGTTTTTTATTTTCAAGGTTAAGACATTTTTGATAGGCTAGATAGATCTTATGTTCATTGCTAAAATCCTGTGCGTGTTGACATCACAACAATTACAGTCACATAAATAAAACACAAAACGAGTAGCATAGCTAGATTATTCAAAGACATCAAATCTGAGTTGAGGATTCTTTAAGGAATCGAACCCGGATCATAGGAGTGGTAGAATAAAGGGTGCGGAACAAAAAATTACATTTTGATCATTTCATCAGTTTTACACCCTTGGGTAGAATTTATTTCTGTATCATTTTCTTATTATTATTTTCCGTAAAAGAGGGTAAAAGATTTCTGACAACAAGGAAAGGAAATCTACAAAGCTTTAATTTTTTTCTATCGCAACTCTGGTCAAATTTCTCACAATCTCAAGGGAAACATAAAAATTAAATATCTTTTCTCAGCGTTCACAAAGAGTTTGCAAAAATGATCATTCAGCAATAATCTATAATTACACCCTAGCAAAAATTTACCAGTAATTTCCTAGTAATTTACTGGATAACTTTCCATTTGCTTTTTGCTATTTACTAGTCAAAATCCAAGTTCAAATCTTCGCCAAAGACCCGCATTTTCACTTGCTATTTGACTAGTCAATTCGCTAGCAATTTAACTAGTAATTTACTAGCAAATTTGTAAAAAATTTAAATGAATATAACCGTTGATTTCCACGTGTTCTTTTGATTTTTTTATTTGTGTAAATTATTGTAAACGTTTTAGTGTGTACTTAGCTAAAGTTTATTAAAGTACACTAACACTATGAAAAAAAAATAAAAGACTTAATTTAATAAAGTCGAACACTGATGAACGCCCATGACTCGCACGCAAACCTGAGGAAGATAAATAATTAATTGAAAGTCAAATACAAATTTGGATCGAGCTTAAATTGATGCCAAATTTAAAACAAAATTTTTTATGACGCAAAAAATTCTTTTTTTGATGATTTTTCGTAGGATTTAAACTTAAACAGATTTGATCAAACATTTCACATGGTAATTTGCTATTAAATAGTAAGTGTAATTTATTAACAGTAAGTTGTTTTAATAATAACTAGTAAGTTGCAAGTAGTAGAATAGAAAGACTAGCAATGCTAGTTAGTCTCGCTAGCGACAACTTAGTAAGATATTCGCCATGACTAGAGTCAAGATATAAATAAATCAGAGATCGAAGCCGATTTTTTCGGCTTAACTCAATTTTTGATTTTTTTGATAGAAAAAAGCCATTTGACACCCATTTTAAGTATTTAAATTGAACTTTACATGCTTTACTATGATTCTGTGAAATATTTTTTCAGCATGTAGCTATAGTGAGCTCAGAATTTCAAGTTAAAGAATGTTAAGCCGAAATTTAAGCCGATCGGCTTAAAATCGGCTAAATTGAAATTCTGAGCTCACTATAGCTACATGCTGACAAAATATTACACAGAATCATAGTAAAGCATGTAAAGTTCAATTTAAATACTTGAAATGGGTGTCAAATGGCTTTTTTCTATCAAAAAAATCAAAAATTGAGTTAAGCCGAAAAAATCGGCTTCGATCTCTGAAATAAATAGAAGAAACCAGAGCTCAAAGTCGACTCGAACCCTATCGACTTCGAGCTCTGCAAGAAAATCTTAAGAAAATTAAACTTTGAACTTTCTAATCTCAAAAGTAATTTGATTTCTCCTCATTGACTATACTTAATGTTCATAAGCAAAGCTCAACTATAAAATATTTTTCAAAAATAATTTTCAGTAAATTTCCTTTTAAGCTCAACTGCTTCATTTTCTTTGTGCTTTTTATTATTTCCAAAAAAAAAAATCTTTTTTTTTTGCTGGCGTCTTAAAGTTTTATCTCTAAAAAACTACAAGAAGCATGTATGTCTGTACATATGTACATAAATAAGCAAGTAATAAATATATGTACATGAATAACGCAATGGGAAAAAAAAATAAAGTGAGCCGTAAGAGAATGTTCATGCATAATAAACTAGAACTATATTCGCTTATTTTTTACGATTTTCATCATCACAATTTTTTTGTTTCTTGCCTTTTGATAAGAAGTATGTATGAGCACATATCTATAGCATATTCAATAAATTTTATGAAAAAAAAGAGTCGAGAAATAGAAATTGAATGAGGAGAGGAAGGAGGCACTTCAAAGTGGTACAATAAAATAAAAATAAAAAGATACAAAATATGGAGAGTGGTAGTTCGTTTATTCATGATGATAAGAGCATAAAAAGAAATAAATTCACATTGAAAAATTTATGATTTATGAATTTTCTTGTGTTACTCTCAAATTTCTATCTTTCTTGTTCCTACTCCTTACTATTCTTTTACTACATGATATGGATTTATTTATGATTACCTTGATCCCCCTCGATCGTAAAACTTATTTTCATTCGCTGGATGGTTGTGATAAAGACAATAAATTCTTGTAAATCTGCATACGCTGATATCAATCAAATATTTTGAAAATTGTATCAAATTTGGTGTTTTTTTGATAGCAGATCGAATTTTTAATATGAAAAAGAAACTAAGGACGAATAAATAAATTTAACACCTCTCGTTAATGGACCTATTAGCGGAGTTGCCAGGCGGGATTTTTTTTGGATTTTTGGGATTTTTTAGGATTAATCCTGAGCTACTTTGAAACTTCTGAGAGAATCTGACTAATCTTTAAACTAGTGTCCGTAATAAATTACGGGTAGCATTTAAACCCTACAGCATGATAATTACGAGTTTCAATTTAATTTAATTTATTTAAGCTTTAACCTCAAAGCCTTATGACCAAATGATCTGTAAATTGATAGCTAATGTTGAATATAGAACAATTTTATTGTTTATAGATTTTTAAAAATTTAAAAAAAAAATTTGAATGTTGATAAAAATTTAGCCAAATTCTTGCTTCAACTTTAAGTTATTGTTTTTAAGTAATTCAAAAACTGCTGCCACAAAAATAGAGCACATGGTGATGATGCACATGGCACTGGGAAAGACATAGTAATAGTCCAATTTGCATAGCACTTCTGAAGATAGGTTGCCATGGTTGTTTGACAGTTCGACTTTAAAATTGTAACTGTTTGTGCTGTATTTGGGAGGCATTTGAATCCTGGGACATCAAACATGTCAACAATATTAGCTGGTCTTGAATCGAAAAGTTTACAAAATGTAGGCTGGATAGCGTTGACTGGATTTCCAGCGAGATAAAATGCAAGATTTCCGTTCAAAGCTGCAGATCCAGTTAAATCAAACAGTGGCAAATATGAAAGCATGTTATTACTCAAATTTATAACATGAAGGTAGGGAAGATTCCTGAAAAGTCCACTGTCAACTGCTAGAATTTGACTTTTCGAAAAGTCAATCTCAGAAATTAATGGCGTATTCTGAAATAAATCTGGTGGTATGCAAGTAAGTTTGTTGTCTGCCATCATTAAAATTTTCAATTTTGACAAGCCCTTAAAAGCGTTAACATCAATTGTTTGAATGCCATCACTAATCAACATCAAAGTTCCTACATTTGAACATGACTGAGCAAATCCAGCAGGAACATTTGGAATATTTACAGCTTGAATGGCTAACATCGTCAATTTTCCACAATTCACAAATGCATCTGTGACTAAATTTGTGGTGAAAGTATTCAGCATGGCAAATTGGACGATGTTGGTAAAAGTGGTGAAAACTTTCGTTGGAACGTATCTCAAGACAGTCGCGTTGAAAAAGACAAAGGAAGTTAAAGTATCGATGTAATTTGCTGCCTTTCCAGCGATTGTAATTGGTTCACTTGGCGAAGTAACTGGAGGTAGATTAGAAATGACGCACATTGATCCATACTTCCATTCGCAGGCAACTTCAACTGAATTAGCTGATGAGGCCATCCATAGTATGATGATGGGTAGTAATCTGGCGAAGAAAAGAGATGAAAACAGTTGAATTAAAGCAAGTGCAAGAGGCATATTGTACAAGATTGAGTGTAGAACTCTCCCGAGTGACACAAAAGGGAAAAGTCTTCATTAAGGATCCATCAAGTCATCATTATCTTCGCTTTATTAACACTAATTAGTTGACAGCCTCTATATCCATAAGAAAGCTATATTTAGTCTGCACTAAAAAGTTTTCCTATAATGTCACTTGGGTTCTTACAACTCATTGGTTGCAAGTGTCAATATATCATAATTTTAACAAAATCAGTGCCACACAGATAGAACTATACTTACAATTTTGTCCACATTTTTAAAACTGCTCCTTTCTATTAGACGTTCACTTAATGAATAGATCAGTCGATAGAAATTGCGTCTTATTTTTTTAAATTAGTATCTTTGTTGGCATTAAGAGATCTGTTTCTGATCATCAAAACAAAATGTGTTTTGAAGGGGAATTTTTTGCTGATAACTGTTTGCTTGCGTTTGATGTATAAATATACCTGTTGGAATTTTTAAATGTTACCAGCTATTTGTACGCCTATTTATCGCTGTGCAACCTCTCCCTTTCCCTCTTCTCCTGTGTAATATCTCATTGGAAATAGTAGTTTTGAACCTAAACTCTTAAAGAACTTCAGTTTTTGAACAAATTCTTTCTCCCCATTCGAAGCAACCCAGCATATATCACTCAATAAGTCCTCCCACACCTATGATTAATTTCCTGCTTTGTGTTTTTAGAATGAATTAAATTATTTTAAGATGACAAACTCTTTCGAATGAAAATTAGTCAAAAATATATTTATTAATTTTTTCAACATTTTTTTTATTGTGAATTTGATTAATTCAGCATTGTATGGGAACATATGTAGTTGGTGTCCAATTAGAGTAACAAACTTTTAAAACTCTTTTCTCATTACAAGCGCTTGGATTAATTTGGCTTATATCATTGTTATAAAGGGTGCACGGACTTCCACCAATATTGATTATTGTCATTTTACGATTTGTTAATCTTGTTGCAATAATAGTACAAATATTTGGATTAATAGATCTGATTTGATTATAATCAAAATCCATTTGCAATGTGGTAACCAAATATGAAGATCCAGTGTTTAATAATTCAAAATTTGGTAAAGTTGCAATCAAATTGTATTTAAAGTTGGCTGTCATTAAAGTCGGAAGATTATTAAATAGTTTCTGATCAAGTGCAGCAATTTTATTGTTACTGAAATCAATTGATACTAAATTTGGTTTACTCTGGAATATGTCATATGGCAAGCATGTAATTTTGTTATTGCTCATAATAAGTTGTTGCAGATTTGTCAATCCAATCAATGCATTTCTTTCAACTTTAATAGTGTCTGCATACATCACAACAAAATTGATAAGTTTTAAATTAGACTGAGTAAATCCTGCAGGAATAATTGGAACATTGGGACCTGCCATATAAATCGTGACTAGATTTGGACAGCCCAAAAATGAATCTTTCAATAAATTTGTTATGGAGCAGCCATTGAAGCTTATAGCGCCTAAGTTAGGAAATATTTTACAAATTCCATTGGGGACATATGTTGAACGTAAGTCTTTGAAGATGACACTGTTTACAGCCGTATTAACATAGTTAAGAGGCATTCCAGAAACTGTAATGACTTCATTTGGACGTGTGATTGCCGTTGTACTGACAACGTTGCAATTTGTGCCACTAAATTGACATGTTATCTGAGCTGCAGAAGATGATGATATCATCCATGTTATCACTATGAACCCCAAGCTAGGAAATGTTAAGATTGGGTGTTATTAAAAAATCTAAGAATCTCTTTGATGTAGAACCAAGAGTGTGGATCATTTTCTATAATTTCATCAGTTCCACACCCTTGTGTAGAACAGAATCGTAACAAGTGGTTTAAATCTTGTGGGAGGCACAGAATCTTTGGGTACCATGACAAAAATAATAAAAAATCCCATGCACAGAAATGCTAATTTTTGACAAAAAAATCCTTTGCTACGCTCTGACTTGTTAACAATAAATTGCCACGACTCAACACTTACAACTTTTTCCCCATTTTTTTTCTCTCCATATTAAAGCACCTCCAATTTCTTCTATACACAATTATAGACTGATAAAAATATTGTTCAATAAAAAACACATGTCAAGGAGATCTGTAACTGAATACCTGTTCAATAGTAGATGTTTCCTTATACTTTTAAGTATAATAAGTTGAGAACTTACGCTAGTACGTTCTACTACTACAGTAAGTACTACTGTGATGTAGCAATCTCAAAGGAATCGTTCTGATTTTTAAGTTGTTATTAAACTCTTGTGAGCTGAAGTGGATCGATGGCGCAATGCTTTAGTACTTCGGTACCTAATTATGGCAATACCGACACAGCGATCATGGGTTCGAGACTGGGTATGAGAAATTTTTCACTTGTCCTTTTTCGAATCATATATAATGGAAATGAGGCTCACAGCCTTCCTTTGTGGCTACATGTAGAAATGTCAGCAAAGAAGTGGTTCGGATCCCACTTTAAATTGTAGGTCTAGGTTTGAGTGCAGTTGTTTGGTGCATCTTCACTCGTTAAACTCTCATTAGCTGCGAAACGCCCTAGCGCATCTGTGGTACACAATTGATCTGAATAAGTAAAGTTTTTTTTTAATGAACTCTTGCAAGTTTGTAGTCTTTTTCCAGACCTCTTAACTACACCACTAAAAGCTAGTCACTCAGTACCAAAAATATCTCCAATTCATTAAAAATTTCGTTATTTAAAAGCACCCAAACATGCACAATAAAACGGAAAAATTGCATCTCTCTGTATTGATATAGGCTCACCCAAAGCCAAAGCCAATTTGAGAGCAATTATCAGGGCTATTTTGATATTCATTGAACAAAATAATCCTTTTATAGGAAAAGAAAAATCACTGGGGAGTTATTTGATCGATTCAGGGAGAATTTATTTTATCGATTGAACATAAATGCAATTTTGAGTGAGTAGAAAAGAAGATAATGGACGATGCTGTTAGATAATGGACACATCAAAATAATTATAGAGTTTTATTGGGGAGTAGAAAAAGTTTTATTTCATTTTAGGGGATTTTGTGGATGTGACCGGGGAATATGGGATGTGGTGGAGATTTTTGATGCTTGACGTTGAGGAGAAGAGTAGCTAAGTATTGTTTAGGGGCTTAAACCTACTTTAAAGCAGCGATTTAGTGTCTCTGCATTAGCAACTGGTTTGAAAAGCTTTTTAATGCCTTAGTTCCCCTCCTTTACAACCAATTTGGTGTAAAATAAAATTTGATGTTGAGTGTAAATTAATTTTGACTATAATAATGTTGTACGGTACCCTGGATAGTTTAAACCTGACCCTAGAAGCACAAACTCACTTAATTTGACCAAATGAAGCCAATAAAATTTATTTCGTTAGCAACTCCAGTTCACTAGCTCAGCATCTGCATCACAAAATAAAATTCTATACCCTCCCGGGGCATAATAAATTGATGGATGCATGCACATATTCGATATTAAAATTGAATAAATCTAGCAAAAAAAAATGAATTTTTCCATCATTCAGAAGCTGAGTCTGTTAAATTGCTGAGTTATTCGTTCTCATTCATGAATATAAAGGCACCAGAAATGCTTTTAACGAAAATTGGAACATAAAAAAAAATTTCGAATCAATAAAATAATAATAATAATCAGCAAATTACATAACAGCATAAAGGAACGCATCAACAAATGAAATCTATAAGAAAATGTTATGACGATAATGCGAAATGTGTTTAGCATAAGAGTGTGGGGATAATGCAAATTTTCATCGCTTCATTTCCTTCTCAACATGCTCAAATCATTGAATTTATTTATGTATTATTCTGATTACATCAACAGTGAAAACGAACGGCAAACATGTCGAGAGCGCCATGGCAAGAGCAAAATTTAATCTGAAGGGATTATGTGCTTATGCGATTGAATTGTGTGTGCGATATACATAGTTTTTTTTTATTATTTCGCTTGCCATGAAATTGATACGACAACTGACAAAATAATTTTCCATATTATGATAGAGAAAATATTTTTTTTTTCTCACTCGATAGTCGGGCAGCGACACGTAACTTGATTGTAAATGAATCAAGGTTGGATTGATTGCTCGCTTTCTGTGATTAACATGCAACATGTTTGGGTTGTGTGAATATATTTTGATGGGATTTGGGGACTAAGTTTTGATTTTTATGATTTTTTGTTGAATTTTGAGGGTTGTGGGTTATTAGACATCGTCATTCTGAACCTAATAGGGACAGAAACTTACTGTTTACCTTATATTCGATTGCTAATTAAATTTTGTACAATCTTGTCAGCCTCCACATCCATTACATCTCTCAAAAAAATCAGAAAACATTCAAACTCACCCCTCTTCATCCACCACACCCCCTCAACACTACTTCAATCCATCTGCCCTAAAGAAAAAATTTATTTATTGCCAACTTCAATTATCATTCCGATAATCTCTCCATCTTTCTTATTCTACCTTCATGCCCATCACATTTGAAGTGACATTTCAATTTTCTCTATCTACCAAATTATCTTAAATAAATAAATGAACTTCAATCATAAGGTCACGTCACATAACATATGAAATCATTTTGACCACACCTGGCAATTTCTAATTTTTCGTACAAGCTGTATTCAACCTTATGTAGGAATTATCATCTATTCCAAGTGATTAAACAGCACACTCATGGAAAAATTGGGTTTTTTTGGGAGATGGGGAAGATGGGTAGTTTTGAGGTTTTATGGTGCATCATATCTTTTTATTTGATTGAGTTGTTTATTTTTCGAAGGGGAGGAGGAATAATTTTTTTAGGGTGGTTCCAAATTTTTTTTATGGTCCTGTGAAGGAAGGAGAAAAGTATCGCAGTCTACATTATGTTGAGCTATGTCATTTATTTCAGGAAGCTGATATTGCTACAGTTCTCCATGCGAATCTTTTGAGATAGGCTGGACATGTGTATTGACGCTTACAAGATGCTTCAGTATTAAAAGTGAGAGTAACAGACTTTATGGATGGCAAGAGAGCATTATGAAGAACGAAGAACTCGTAGATTGGATGTGTTGATTAGGACGCTAAAGTCCTTAATATACCAAACTGGCAGAAGGTTTCTAAGGATAGAACTGTCTTCAGACGATCTTTAAGCGCATCAATGGGCTCACGTGCGCCCAAGCCAAGGAGGTAAGTAAGGAAGATCCAAAATTTCCTTTAGACACTTAACTCATAGTTTTGTTCTTGGTAATGATTCACGCATGATTAAGCTACAAATAAGAGTTCTAATATTTTTTTAACATATCAGGACCGCTTTGGACTCTTCTGTGTTCGACAGGTTTTCGTATTTAAAGTCAATCAAATTGAAGCTTTATTTACGCATGAAGCTGTATGTCATCCCATTATTGGTATTACATGGGAAATTAAAGTACATAGTTCTGATAAATAAGAAGCAAAAGATACCCAACATTGGGAAACTAAAAAAATAGCTCCCCTATAAGATAATAAAGTCCATAAACATCCCATCTTGTATTGCCACAATTCAATTTCCCCTTCTGCGTGCACAGATGTAGCATTTTAATCAAGTGATTGAAAGCATATTTATACAGGTTAATTGAAAATGGCAACGACTATTTGATAACAAAATTCTCTTGTAAGAAATCAATTGGCAAAAAAAGGAACCAAAATAGCCCACATGTGGGTGGTTGCTTGATTTTGCGAATTAAGTAGAATCATCAAAAAAAGGCAAACACTATCGCCGCAAATACATCGTCTTTAGTATTATTTTATGGCATCAGTTCCTTTTTTACTTTTAAAAATTGCCACTCCTGATAGCAATAAAAATATTTGTTTTGTGTGTGTATGTGTGGTTGTGGACTATAAAATTAACTCTCATTCTTTCCGTTATCAGTCTCTGCAGATAATTGTGAGTGGCTCACGCACTTCCAAAAAAATGTGAAATAAAAAGTTTAAAAAAAAAGGAAAAGGCATAAAAAAATTATTATTATCATAATTAAAAGGCATAAAAGGCAGCACAGTTTTTCACCTTGTTGCTTTATTTTCATTTCCATTGAATGATATCGTCAAGCAATACCAAAGCATGCAGTCACATATTTTACGACATTTAGCGACGATATATTTTATTTTTATTTTCATACACTCGAAACTAAATAAAGATGAACAATTTCCATCATTTATAATGTCTTCATAACACTTATTGCATGCTTCCCTCGAGTATGGTCGCACACTCACTCACTCTTTAACCTTAACTCGTATAATGATGATAATGTTTAGTGTCGATATAATGTGCTTGTGCCGGAGAGTCCCTTCTTGCCTTTTTTTTATAATTCAGTGTAGGAGAAATAGTTTCTGGAATTGCCTTACGCTGAATATTAAACATACTAAATTTCCTTCTGTTGCTAAGTGGCTGTAGTTATTTATTACTTTGGATTTTATTTTTGTTCTGTTTTTGTCGTGGTGGAACTTAATCGCTGTTAATGTTGGATAATTTTATAATTTATGATTAAAGGGGTCTAAAACTTAAGATGTTGAACAAAAAAGGGGGAGGGGGGGTGTTTGAAGATTTATAAATCTAATTTTTGATGGATTTTTCTGATGAACATATCATAAGCTTGCGTTCGTTGGTTTTTTAAGGGGTCTTTGATTTTGTAACTGGTCACATAAAGAAATTTTAAACATTGGGGGGGAGGGGAGGTGGTCTTTTGCTTTTGGACATCCGAAATAAAGGACTAGGTTCTTACCAGAAGAAGGTTAAGGTCAAAAGACAGAAATATAGAGATACATATAAGAAACCGCTGCTGTATTAGATTAACACTATGAAAAACAAAGAAAAGTCGACCCTAAAAGGGACGCAAGGGGAAATTAGTACCTAGTCTCGATTTCTAGGGCTAACCGAGCACCCTTCGAAGCACTTGAACCAAAGCACTTGATCAACACCTTAAATTTCCAACCCTGTCAGCCCATTGCAACCACCTCCATATGATATATCTGCCTGTGGACTCTCTTTCATTTTTATGATTTTTCATTTCATCAGCGAAATAAATCGTGTATGTAGTGCGAACACACAAAAAAAATGTGTAATAAAAAATATACATTTTATGACACTAGAGCGGAATGAGGAGAAG